TGGGATGTGCTCATAAAATAGAGTGTAACATGTTGGATGTCATTTGTTATGTCCTCCGCACAACAGAGGACTTGGGAAAGAGAAGTGACTTCTTTCTGTACCAGAAGCAGGTCTCTGTTCTGACTTGTAGACTTGTAGAAAGATAAAGAAGGGATCAGGAGCATGGGGACCTCTAGACATAGAAACTTTGTTGTTGTTCATTTTCTCATATCACTTGTTTCTATAACATAATGAAAACCTAATTAATCCAGAGGTAACTTTTGAGCCAAACTAATGTAGTAATTGAGGAGGAAGAGGGAAAGTCATACGTTAGGGACTGAGGTCTTGCAGAGGGCTTCCTTTTCCCTGACACGTGTTGTGTTAGTGTCTTGAGGATACTTTATGGTGACAAGTGCTCTAAAAACATTGAAGTTACAAATATAACCTGACAAGGCTCGCTTTCCAGAAGGACCCAGAGCCTGTTTGCCCCTCATCACCGCGGTGAGTAGACTTCCCCGTTTCTTTTAATCATGTGTGCCGTGCAACATTTTGTTAAAGACACACAGTTGATTCTCTTTGATGAAGCCAAGGAGTAGAGGCAAGAGGCTGAGCCTGGTCACCTTCACTCTTCTTCTGACCTTTATAATAACTGGGGTCACTTCCAGGAGCTGTGACGTCAGGAAAACACAAGTGCTTCATTCCCTGTGCTCAGGGTCTGCTGTCACAGGAGTTTGGGGTGAATCTTTGTCTAATGGGTCCTCCTTTCTTTCAAGAACTAAAAATAAATAGAAAGTATTCAGAATTCTATGGAAAATGCCCATTTTCTCTATCCTCAAAGTTCACTTGCCTTATAAGGATGCCAGTGATGTAAATTTAATCCATCCGTTTCATTTTTGGTGAATTTCTACATTTCTTGTGCCTGCAACTTTGTCTCTTGTAGTTTGACTGCTAACTGCCCAGGCCTGGTGCTGTTTAATTTAAATGTTTCTTTTGTGAATCCATCTTTAAAGTCTCCATCCTGACATGTGATGTTGTACAAAACTGGTAAGTCAGTATCTCCATTGTGTTTCTAGATAGTGGTGAGGGTTATTAAGAAGTTCAAAGATGAAAAAAATAAGACTGTCATGGTGGCACGTGCCTTTCATACCAGCTCTAGGCAGGCAGAGGCAGGTGTACCTTGGTGAGGTCAAGGCCAGTCTAGGAGAAACCCAGGTATCTCATAAAAACAACAAAAGTTTAAAGAAATAAAGTCATGAACTTGCTAGATTTGAGTTGCTATAACCCAAGATAATCTCACTCTAGTATAATGAGTCAAGGAGCAATAACCTTATATTTTAATTTGAGAATGCTGGGGCTGACAGATTCACTTCCCAGTCCCTGCTGATTTGTAATACACATGGAACATTATCCATCTATCAAAATGTAAAGCCATCCCCTTTTTTTGCTTTTATTTGCTGCTGCTGCTGCTGCTGCTGCTGCTGCTGCTGCTGCTGCTGCTGCTGTTTTTCTTTTGCTGCTGTGTGAAACAATGGGTACAATTATGACATTTCATGCATAAGTCATTGTAATTTCCTGTATTTGTCCTTACCAACTTTTCTTCTCCTTTCCCTCCCACTGGTCCTCCCCGCACAATCAATTTCAAAAACTACTTTCCTGGTGTCAGAGGTATGACTGTCATGCCTTGAGGTCAAAGCAGAGATCCAAAGCCAATCATTAGACAGAGCTCTGGGAAACCTTCAGAAGACTGGACTGGTGCCAGGGTCCAACTTTGGCTCAGGCTGAGGTCTTGAGATGTGGAAGGGGCATTGTCAGAGCAAGGAAAACCTAGGACCACTAGATGTCTTGAATTTAAGTGGCCTCAAATAGCACACGCTGTCTTTATTCAAACTTTTAAGAGATTTTCCTGCCAGGCTTACATAAATGGTCTTATTATTGGGTCCTATTTTTTTTACTTTTAAGAAATACGTCATGATCATTATAAAAGCCCATATTGTTCCCCTTTGTGTTACCTCAATTACACTTTCCCACCCCCGACAAAACCTTATTCTAGACAGATAGTTCAGCATTTTGCAGCCTTAACTAAAATATTGGCATTTTTTAGGCTTAACTAAATATCCAGCCAGACACGTCCTGTTCTTTCATCATTTATGTCAGTTGGCAGCTACTTGCAGTTACAAAGTTAAAAAGCAATAAACAAGGATACAATGTTTTAATGTTGAAGTCAAACACAAACAATATTTTCTTGTCTGCAAGATATTTTTATACAGTTCTCTTTTTCCATATTTCATTCTCTCTGTAAAAGGCAGACATTAATAAGTCCCCTTTTCCCCATGCTACTATACCATACCTTCTTCCTATATAAGCTCCTATGTGTAGCAAAGATCAATCTATCCATCCCACATTTTGCAATGCAGTTCTTTTTCTTGAGATGTACCAGATTCTACTATTGATTCTATGTTCGGTGTCCAGGAAATTTACTCTCAAGAGTTTGCACTATTTTTATTCGTGAGGTCTTTTCCATATTCTCTCCTTTCTGGAACTGTGAGACATGGAAATGTTCCTAGGGTACCTGACTGTCACTATTGTGTCAGGAAATCTCACAGGATTAGAAGTTGTAGTTAGCTATTCCAGGTAAGAGGTTTGAGAAGTATTAGTGCCCTGATGAATCTTAGGGGACAATGACCAGGAAAGAACAGAATTTCCATGGGAAATGGCAGCTGTTGCCTGTGTGACTGACAGAGTAAAACTAAGAACCGCCCAAGAAATGTATAAGGGGAGAGAAAAGAGCCAGCAAATTCCTATGCTGTCCTCTTATTTACTGGTCCTTGCCGAGTGAGAACCCCTTTCCAGGGATACTTCGCCCCTAGTAAACCCATTGGGCAGGTAGTCATGTGCTGACCTGAGACAATGCTGCACACTTGTCCATAGGGGAGGAATGATTCTAAAAGTCAGAGGGATCAAAGACAGCAGGAGAAAAAGGACCACAGAATCCGCTAACCTGACCTCATGGTGGCTTCTAGAGACTGAAACAGCAATCACGGAGCCTGTGGTGGGTCTGTGCTAGGTCCTCTGCGTATGTGCTGTGGTTGCTTAGTTTGGGGATTTTGTGAAATTCCGAACAGTGAGAATGGGGGTGTGTCTGACTGTTTTGTCTATCCTGGACCCTTTTCTTCTTACTAGGTTGCCTCATTCAGCCTTGACATGAGGCTTTGTGCCTTGTCTTACTGCATCTTGTTATGTGGTGTTCAGATGCTACTCCTGAGAAGCCTGCTCTTTTCTGGGGAGAAATGGAGGAGCAATAGATCTGAGGGAGAGGGGTGGGGGGCCTGAAAGAGTGGAGGGAGGGGAAGGTTGTAGTCAGGATGTCTTGTATGAGAGAAGAATAAATAAAAAGAAAAAAGGAGTAAAAACCCCTACTTTCCTAAAAAGACTTTCCAGGTGTCTGTAATATTATGGTGACTTCTTCCTCCGACAGTATCCATTTCAGTCAGAAAGGAGAGACATCATTCATTACCTATGATCGTTGAAGTCTGTGGGGAGGAACAGAGGGCTGGAAAGAAGTAGGCAGTCCCAGACAAATGGACAGACAGAAGAGCTCTGAATAGATTTGAGAAGTTCATCAGGACATTCAACACTTTTAGTATATTCTCATCTCTGACGAAATACTTGGTTTTATCCCAGGCTTGTTCAGCTACATTCCTATGATTACTATAAACGCTGCAGTGTGTTTCATTATGTGCTAAGAATTTACAGCCGTGTTCTGCTCTCTATAGTGTAATGGTCCAGGTACAAATCACCCCATTTGTCAAGGGGATTGAAAGGCAGTAACTGGTATTCCTAGAAGAGTGAGGCCGCCTGCTATTGACCTGGGTACAGCCTAGAGTACATAGTTCATGTTGTCAGAGACCTTCAGGACAGAGATCTACAACAATCTTTAATATTTAATACAAAGGAAAAGTAGGAAGCTTGCAGAATTGCATTTAAAGAACATAAAACTTGGACAGATCCAAAGATTGAATTGAGCGTCCTGATCTCTTTTTCTGTGTAAAAAGTCCCCATCATGTGACATGCATTGATAGTTAGGGAGACTGACGCTCTTAGAAGAGTCAGAGCCTATCCTAGCATGAACTGAAAACAGTCGCACCAGTCATACACAGCCTTGCCGCTCTCTCGTTTCCTGTGCTGGGAAAGGCAGGGATAAAACAGCCACAAAGCCACCTGGAAACACAGCTGCTCCTAAATGTCACATGACAGCGGCAAAGTACCACCCTGGCCCTCGATGAGAACAATCAATTCATACCAGGAATTTGCCAACCAGTTATTTTTAAAATTTTTATTTTTTAAAATCTGCTTTTCCTACCAGTAACTGTCCGGCTTTCACGACTTGTGCCTACAGAAACCAAAAGAGGGCGCCAGATCCCTTATTTATTAACAAAGTTTTGAACAAAGTTTTCTCAGATCCCGATCTTAAACACATCTTTGTTTTATAGCACGATGCCTAATTAATCTTCTAATCCATATGATAAACTTCAACATATCTATAACAGCTCCAGACTCTGTTAGAAATCAAACTGTGGTTGAATTTGGGAGGTGTTTAGTGTGTTAAATGATAGGACTTCACAGATGTTTGTATATGCCACATGGCAAATGGGTGAGCATGATTTACAGAACTGTACTACAGGAATGTGATAGAATGAAAAGTAAAATGCTTGGAGAAATTCTGATTGGGGCCATAGGTGTTACTTCAGCTACGCTGAGACAGAACATAGGTGAGATATATCAATTTGAACAAGTAGAGTAGATTTTAGAATATAAATTAATATATAGCTTGGAAATTTAGATTTTTGAAAAGAAGTCTTCAAGTAAGTTCTGTGTCAATAGATGAACAATAATATATATCGTTCCCTTTCCTCCAGAAAAGTAAGCAGATCTAAAGGAATTTTTGCTGATGCTTGTCGTGATTCACTGATTTCTTCACAAAGGCATTTGCTGGATCAAGCATTTCTGCTTCAGATCTAAGGATGGTTTTGGATCCTGTCAAGGGCACAGTCTTCCTCTGTCTCACTGGGCTTGGCACCATGGGAAATGTCTTGGTTTTTGTGAGTTACATGCATGTGTTCCAAAGCACTGAGAAGAAACCTATACACCTCGTTCTTGCTCACTTGGCGCTCACAAATATCATAATGCTTCTTTCAAAGGGAATGTTAAAGACAATAGAAGCCTTTAATTTTAGAAATTTCTTAGATGACACGAGTTGTAAAGTTGTGATTTACCTGGCAAGGGTGTCACGGGGCCTCTCCATCTGCACCAGCAGTCTCCTCACTGTGGTCCAGGCCATCACCATCAGTCCCAGAGCATCTGGGTGGAGGAGGCTCAATCTAAAGACTCCACAGCACATTCTTTCCTCGCTGCTCTTCTTTTGGATCCTCAGTTCCTTGATCAGCATGAACTTACCGTATTATATTAAAAATATCAAGAGTGTGAACATAACTCAGAGTAAAAGGGGCAGCAACTATTGCTATTTTGTGCCAGAAAACAGGATAACACGATGGATTTTTCTCACCCTCATGGTCCTGAGAGATGCTGTGTTTCAGGGAGCCATGGGAGGCGCCAGTGGCTACATGGTACTTCTTCTCCACAAGCACCACCACCATGTCCTCCACCTCCAGAACTCCAAGCTTCTCTACAGAACTCCCCCTGAGCTGAGAGCTGCTCAGAGTGTCCTCCTTCTGATGCTATGTTTTCTTTTTTTCTATTTAACAGATTGTTTTATTTCTTTATGTTTTACTTTCTTTATAGAGAGTTATTCCAAAATTCTATATGTTCCAGAGTTTCTTACCCTTGGTTATGCAGTTATCAGCCCCTTCATACTGATCCACAGAGATGAACATTTAACTAAATGCTGTCATACTCTGTAAGAGGGATTGGGTATTGATAAACGCCTATTTATCTTTTTAGCATACAAAAGAGAAAACGTACCACACAGCAGAAAAAAATAATGACATCTTGACTTTTGCAGAAAAAATGGATGGAGCTAGAAAACATCATTTTGAGTGAGGTAACCCAGACACAGAAAAACAATTATCACATGTACTCACTCATAAGTGGTTTCTAAAGATAAAGAAAAGAAAATAGCCTACAAATCACAATCCCAGAGAACTTAGACAACAATGAGAACACTAAGAGAGACACACATAGATCTAATCTACATGGGAAGTAGAAAAAAAAATCTCCTGAGTAAATTGGGAGCATGGGGACCTTCAGGGAGGGTTGAAGGGGAGGGGAGAGGTGGAAGGGGGACAGAGAAAAATGTAGAGCTCAATAAAAACCAATAAAAATGATAGTTTTGCTTTGGTACACATAATACCAGATCCAATAAGAGTATTTGAACATATAAAGGCAGAATCTCACTCACCAAATGGTGATCATGCTTAGCTAATAATGAGGCTAAAGAAAGTTCAAAGCTGCAACTATCTCTTTCTCCATTTGGCCTTCCTTCATGAAATAGCTGATATTCTCTTGTGTCTATAAAGGATCGTTTATGATCACCACTTCTGGTAGCAGAAAGAGTCTTGGAAGCATACCATCAATACATGATAGAGGCAGAGTGTAAATATCACAGTGACTCCCATTGAATTATAGAATTAAGCTGTTAAAGATGTCAGTGAAAATAAATGCATTACAGTTAGTTTTGAAAAACAAATTCACAGGTCAGCCTTGGTCCTCGCGGTGCTGACTTGCTGAAGACATTCACAGGCCAATCTGTGCAGGTGCAGTTTCCATTTAGATGGCCAATCAGTTCTGTCCCTCCAGACAGTCTCCCATAAAAACACACACAGACTTAATATTAATTATAAATGCCCAGTCAATAACTCAGGCTTAGTTTTAGCTAGCTCTAATGCCTTAAATTAACCCATTTCTATGAATCTATGTGCTGCCCGAGGCTAGTTTACCTCATCTATGTATTTCCCATACTGCTCTCTCTGCATCTCACAGTGTCTCATCTGACTCTGCCCTTCTTGTCCCCGGTATTTTCTCTGCCCCAAAAATCCTGCCTAGAAATCGGCCAATCAGTTTTTTAGTAACAAAGAGGGCAATACATCTTCACAGTGTTCCAAAGGATTATTCCACAGCGTTTCCCCTTTTTGTCTAATTAAAAAGGAAGATTTTAACTTTAACATAGCAAAATTAAATATACTAAGAACAAATATCAGGTAAGAATTAAATTTGCAATGTAATTCTGTTTACATTTGATAAATTCAGAAAAAAAATATTTCATTATCCATCCTGTCTTGGTAAGTCCGAAGTTTTGTACCCAGTTCACTTTCCTTCCTAACTTATATTACAAACCCAAAACTATTCTTTTATGTCTCTCAACCTTGCACATTTTACACTGTTTTTGTGAGTTTCTTTTTTAAATTTGATCACAAAGGAAGTCATAACTATAACTATCTAGTCTTCAGCTCCATCAGACACCCAAGGAGGAAATAAGCAGGAAGTACAGAGCAACAACTTCCAAATCTAAGAAATAACTGACTGGGTGGACAGACACCCAAAGTTCCTCTGTAATGTTAGGGCATCCATTTTCAGTCTACAGGCCTGGAATATCTGAGAGACTTTTCTGTGAAGCAGTCACGTTGAAACAGTGTGCTGCACTTGCTTTCCTTTGTGTCCTACTTGTCAAATTTGGACAGCATACAGTCAGCAGTGGACGCAAGAGCAGTTTCCTGTCCAGTGCTTAACTTTTGCCACAAACAAAGCAAACTCCATAAGGAGTTTCTTCGACACTCATCATCTTCTCTGAAGTGGGTTGGTGCTGCCAGGAGCAGACATGTCTCATTATCATAAAAAGCCTTATGTTATTAAAACATCTTAAATGTCATATTTTGTAGATCTATAAAGTGTTTAAAGATGACCTGTCTATCTAAAATATATCTGTTTGGCCTTGAAAGAATACCTAAAATGACTATAAGTTTCATTGTAATAGGTGACTAACTACCAACCTGCATTTTTTGTTATTCTAAATAGCTTATAAGACTAATGAGACCAGCTAGGTAGTGGTGGCACACGCCTTTAAGCCCAGCACTTGGGAGGCAGAGGCAGATGGATCTCTGTGAGTTCGAGGCCAGCCTGGTCTACAAGAGCTAGCTCCAGGACAGGCTCTAAAGCTACATAGAAAAACCCTGTCTCGGAAAAAAAAAAACCTAATTTTTAGAGACTAAATTTGAAGGACTACAAATTTATATTACCTTATTAATGTTCAATACTTAAACAAGACCAGGAACATGTGTACATTATGTTCTAAGAAAAATAACCTTAAATTTGTATCAATATAAAAAATTGATACCAATGTAAAATATGTAATAGTTACGTTTTCAGTTAAAGTAGATTCAATAATCTACCCCTTTATCTCATCATTTTTATATTATATCCCCACTTTTTCTTCAGAAAGAGATCCTGGAATCTCTTTTGTTTCTTTTTTTTTTTACCATGGTCAATAACAATGCATAGGCAAGCCCCTCTCCCAAATGATGCCAAACATTCATAATCTATCTCTTGGGAATGTGGATATTTTTTTCTCTAGACTGTTTTCTATTGTTTAGGGACACTGGCATCTTTAGGGGAATGTTGGAAAAAATAAGAATAATAGTTAAGTATCAGTTGGAGTGGTCTGTGAGTCTGAACCATCTCAATCAGCAGCCTTGAAGCTGCTCTGGATACAGAACTCTGAGGAAATTGCAACAGAGGTGTTCTGAGGGTTGAATCACCTGGGGCGTTCATTTGTATTAGTGTCTGGGCCCCATGTTCTGAAAATACACAAACTTTTAAAGTAACATACATATCTGCATTAATACATGTATAAACTTTGTGTTGTGCACAATTCAGCCAAAGACAATTTTTTTTCATTTTATGTTTGAGCAGGTAAAATATACATCACATGTCTTGTAGCTTTTCTAGGTTTCTTTCATGTCTGTAGCCAGGATTTTCAAGCGGTCTTTCTCAATTAAACTTGAACTTTTTCAACCCTGCACTAATCCATAACTTTTTGTATTCTGTGGAAACAAAAGTATAATCTCTTCCCCAAAACAACACATCTTTTGTCTTCCATTTTAAAGTCAAGACATTTTTTAAATATATAGGTTGTTTTAATCTAGCAGCTTCCATAATCCAATGTCTCATGGCAGCTATTGCTCATTCATCAGCAATCACAAAATTTAAAGGCAACATAGTAGCATTCAGGATCCACACTCCCTGTATGTTTTCCATCTTTAAGTGGTTTCTTTATGTGTGTTACATATTTTGTACATGTATATGTATGTATATATATTCTCCTTTAGTAAGAACTTTACATTTTTATTTTTAAACTACTTACTTTTTCTATGACTGTCTATACTCTTTCTCTTTTCTCTCTCAAGACTATGTACATTTTAAACACAATATAACTTGTTTAGAAATTCTTATGTCTGGATCTGTCTTTATTGTGCTTATTTTACGTGAGCAAAACCTTAAACCTATCATGCCACTTAGCTCATGGAAAGTAGGTGAGGCTTATGGTGGTGGCTCCAGCTTACAGGAAGTGGCTGGGAGATGCCTCTTTGTACTGTGGGAATAAGAAACTCTATTTGGTTTGGTTTTTATATATTTGGAACCTTTTATTTAAGCTTTCTTAGGTTTTATATAGATATATATGGCCCTGAATGTTGTATAACATTTATAGGTAAAAGATTTTCATCTAGACCACCAATCAGCTCTATCTTGACAGTTTGCTCTCCAAATAACCACACAGATACTTACTATTTATATTAATTATGTATAATTATATATTATAAATTATATATGTATATAATTTCTATATATCTATATAATATATTTATATATAAATTATATTAATTATAAATGCTCGGGCCATAGCTCAAGCTTGTTTTTATCTATCTCTGATAACTTAAATTAACCCATTTCTATTCATTTGTGGGCTGCCCCAAGGCTTACTGACCTCATCCAAGTATTTCTCATCCTACTTACTCTTTATCTCATGGCGTCTCCTATGATTCCACCCTTTTACACAAGCATTTTCTCTACCGTGAAAATCCTGCTTAGCCATCAGTCAATCAATGTTTTTTAACAATGAGAACAACATATTTTCACCTTGTAAAGAAGGGTTATTCCACAGCAAGCCTGGGTCTTCACAGTTAAAGCCCTCTGAAGGTATCTATAGGCCTACCTGGTGATGGGTGGTAGGTGCCGTTTTGATGAGCAAATATATGGTGGAGAAATGGGAGAGAGAGAGCAGCAGACTGCCCACGTGCTGTGGAAAGTGGCAGAACTGGACAAGCGAAGACATTTAGGAAGAGGCTGATTTGAGTGGCCTTCTTGCCACCTGGGGCCAGGCTGCTGCAAAGGCCATGTCTGGGTCCGTGGTCCAACCACAGCTGGGGACTGTATTGACATTCATGACCCCTGTTGCCACTCAAGGGCACAAAGATGCCTGAGGTCTGCACTGCCACCTGAGGCCTTGGTGGTGTCTGAGGATCATGCTGCAGTTGGGGCCATAAAGATCTGAGTTACCTATGGTGCCACAGGTGCCATGGTGGTCTCTGGGCCCTAGCTGCAACCAAAAGCCCTGTCTCAGTCTATGTCCTCTACATCTGTTGACGCCCATGCCTTCAGTTACTATCAAAGGCCACACTGATGTCAGAGGTCAGGCCAGCACTGGTAGCCATTTTGGTGTCTGAGAGCCATACTGCTGCAAGGTCATGGTGACATCCAGGGCTG